TCTGATAAGAATTAATTTCAAGTGCTTGGCCATTTGCTATAATTTTTAATCTTAAAGGCCAAGCTCGCAAAAATTGTAGCTTTGAGGTGACAACAAAAAAACATTACCCATCATTGCCTATGCTGAAAAACCCACACTGGAGAGAGAGACAGGATTTTAATATGCTCATTTGTGAAAAGTTCTTGCGGCCCTGTCTCAACATAACACTGACTGTGCTTAGCCTTGGACAAGCCTCTTGATGCAGCGCGACTTAGCCATGTTACCTAGGAGACCCGGCATGATTAAATGGTAATGGCAATGATCTGTGTCTCATTCCCTAGTGCCCATTTAGCCCATACCTGGAAATTACTGTACGTGGTTTGACCTTACCTATAACTTCCACAAGGGAAGACAGACACTGGAAAAAACGCCAAGCATCTCTATGTATGTGGCTGAAACGCACTGTAAACTGCTGACTGCAAGAATAGGGAATGGTTTAAGAAGAAAGATAGATAGAGCCATAACAAGTTACCAAAACCCCCATGAAACCAGTATTCTAAATACAAAGAGCCCTTATGTGTGTGTGTGTTTGAGTATGGGCATGCTATAAAGTCAGCAACAACGCGACTAAGAAAAGAGGCTCATTTGAACGCACTCCCCAATGCAAAACATCTGTCTTTCTTACTGACCAAAGAGAAGAGACATCTTCCTCTTACCAACCATTTGCACATCAGTCGCCCACCTTATGCAGTTGATTGCATGACCAGCTTCAGCTTTTTATTTATTTTTTTTTGCAACTTCAATGGGCCCTGTCTTCCACTGCAATACTTTCTGCCGTCAAACCTGCCCTGCTATTGGACCCAAAGAGCAGGAGAGCGTATAGCAACAACTGTAAATCGCGCAAACCCACAGCATGGGTGGGGAGGGAGGGGGGAAAAACCAACCTTGCCAGCATGGCAGTTGTGGGTGACTAGGCATCTTCGACTACCACAGTGTGAACAGTATGAGGTCAGTCTTCAAGGTTCGTCATTGCTACAGTGACAGCGTAGCCAACAACGGCTAGCTTCAGGCTAAGGGCACTCATTGGGCTGATGTGTATTATAAACTAGTATTTGGTAACAGCAGTAGTGTTCTGGTTAGGAACGGTCACGGAGATGTGGAAGACTGCTCCCTTCTAGTAAAACCTGGTCAAATGCTGACCCAGGGAAACAGTATTCCTGCCGAATCCTGCTGCATTGAACTCCCTTGCTGCCTTAAGGACCTCTACTGTAGCGTGCCCTAAGGTGCCTCAGCTGCACAGCTAGCACACAAGAAACCAGGGCAACCACCTGGCTGAAGGGTGCCCGTGACTGTCAGGGCAGGGGCTTGCTTTCCAATCACTGTCATTTTTGCAAAGGATGGGGGTTAACAGGAAAGTAGGGATTACAGCTTCAATTATGCGACTGCCAGAAGTAAAGAAATGTTGCGACTGCACTGGGAGGACTCCTCCTGGCAGTGCAGTGAGTGCTATGCAGAAGGAACATCCGTCCTGCAAAAGGTTTTAGGCCAGGCCTCCAAGTCTGTATATTACTGAGCATGAAAACAGGGACAACACAAATCTTTCTTAAATTAAAGGCTCTCTTAAATAAGCATCCATCTTCTGCTGCATACACAATGCTTTTTCTTTGAATATATACATACGTATTTAACTCTAACATCTGCGTATTTATTTAAACTCTGTACTGTAGTAAAATATGCATCATTTTAATCAATAAGGATTTGCTGGCAACAATCAGATTGACATTCAAACGTGGCGGCTGAAAGCTTTTATGTGCCTCTGACATACTGATTGTTCCCCACGCAGGGGAGGGGGTCTCTGTGCTACTTTTGTACAGTACAATGAGTTGTTGTATGAAAACAAAATCCCTCTGAATTTTCTCTTGTTGACACTAGTCTGGTCTATTTAAGCTACTTTTTTGGGAGTGGGGGGTGGGATAAATATATCTTGAAAAAGGAAAGCAGCTGTAACCACAAAAATGAAACCAATACTAATACAAATCTACAGCATCTGATATTTACCAGCACCCTAGCTTTGCTCATTTGCTGCTGTTAAATCTGGGGAAAGGAGGGTGAGACAGTGCTGAATGGTGCTGACGACGACCAGCTTTTACCTTCCTCTCTACCCCACTCCCAGATCACTTTCAGACAGGGAATGGGGAGGGTTAGGATAATGAAGGTGAGAACTGGAACAAGTGAAGGGGACAGCCATGGGGACATTAAGCGGCTGTGATGTCAAATCTGAATGCTGAAGCAGTTCATGAGTCCCAACTCACGTGGTCAGAGCTCTCCAAGGAGAGGCTCTTGGTCTTGTGAGGTGACACCGGGCTGGGAGGGCTGCTGAGGTTGGAACTGTTTGACGCAGTAGAGTGTCTCGGAGAGTCGGAGTCCTGCAGCCCAAAGACACAGAACAACACCAGTAAGTAACCGGATCGCATACGCAAGTTAGAGTGACGGAAGGTGTCTGAACAACAGCTGACTGGACTGGAAAGCCTGCACTTACTTTGCTAGTGTCCAAAAATACTGAGGAATTTTCTTTGCTCGGAACGTCTTTGGTAGGGGGAGAATGAGAGTAAGCTGTCAAATCACTCCGTTTACAGCTGGCAGAACTGATGCCGATACATGGATACAGTACCTGTGGGGTTCTTGCAATCTGCACGTTACTGAGCCCTTCTTGGTCAACAGAGTGTGCAACTGCAGGTTACTTGTGAAGCAACAATGGCTCCTGCCTTTTCACAGAGGATGATCAGAGATGCTCTTGCACTAAACTGAGGAATCTTTATGGCATGGGCTTCACCACAGCTACCTCTTCTATGTCACTTCCAGGATATTAATTTAAAACATCCTAATTAAGTTAGTTACTCTAGTTAGATCGTCCAGCATAAAGTAGAATGTAGCTATGCCTGAGCCTGAGGTTGGGTTGACACTTGCCTTCCAGCTTCAACCAGAAGAATATATTCTGTACCATAAAAAGCCTTTGTGACTTCTAAACCCTCTCATTCCTAGCTAAGAAAATGGGCCGGGGCAGTTTTGCTGGCCAACATCAGATTGAACCCTCCCTAAGTAAAACATTCTTGGTTGGAAGGACTGAGCTCAGCACTGGGCTGAGCGCATGTGGGGACGGTTTTCCTGTCACAGTGGTAGATTTGTTTTGCAGAGAATATGAATGATCAACTTATGAACAGTTCCTGTCCTAAGTGAAATTATTATATGATAATTCTTAAATTACTTTGTTAACTTCAGGCCCTCAGAGTACTGTCACAGCACGTCTCTACTGTGAAACGGTTGCTAGCATAGCTTCAAAGTCTTTGCGAATAAAGGGAAGAACAAACATCATCACTTCAAGCTGTGACAGGTTGCTGTCAAGGTGTCACTCTACTGGGCCATATTTTTGGGAGCCTCACTACCCGTGTGTCTCTAAGAAAGCAGCACAGAGTACACTTTCTGCATATGAAATACCATGGCGAGAGTTGACACAGTTTGACCAGTCTTTTGCCAAGAAAGCTCGAAATACTGCAAATACAAGTTTTCATTTTTGACAGTGATTCCCAAACTTGTAGCCAACCGGGGCGTTACACCAGCAAAGCCTACCACAGAATTTAACTTCCCCATCTTTACTGACACACTTAAGTTTTCTCCTTTCTCCTGTCACTCACCTCTCGCTCGTAGTCCCTTGTCGGTGCATCACTGCCTTGGTCCAGACCACCAGAGGATAAGGAACCATCCGACGGCGATGCCATAGGCTGGCGCTTTGCTCCATAGCTACCTCCTGAGAATTCCCTCCGCAAAGCACTGCCGTTTTGTGCAGACGATCCTAAAACGTGTGGAGGAGTTAAACTGTGTCACAGGCACACCCACGCAAGGTACTTGAAATTTGTTAACTGTTTCTCTGGTTGGTTCTGCTTTCCTCCAGCACATCCCAAGATGCTCCATTCGTGGCTTGCAGGCTACATGGGCTTTTATCTTGTCTGCTCCCAGCTGCTGCTTTTCCTAGGGATTCTCTGACCTCTCCCTGGCATGTCAGGATTAATACACTTTACACAGTACAGACAAATCACTAAGTCCCTGACAACAGATGGTTGTTGAAACTGCTGCATTGGTAGCCTCCTTCCAGTGGCCTCTTTCCTACGGTGTGGGCAGGCCCTATCAGACTACAACAGATCCACATGCTTTCCACAAACTGCTGGCTGGGTGCAGCTAGCGCAGCACGTGCCCAGGGAAGGGGAAAGGCCTTGAAAAGTGGGACACCAGCCTTGCCTCTATTTTCACGTTATGCGGTCACTTGCCTGCTTCTTGGGCTGACTCTAGAATAGAGGCAGGATGGCAGCACTAGGAAGGGTGTTTCCAGTGCAGCACTTCCATACCAGCAGCCAGATTGCTATTGCTTTCTCTTTGCACTAGCAGCAAGAGAGGTATCCACATCAAGCTCTGCGTAGTTCAGTAACAAAGTTAGCAATGGAGTTTGTGAACAACTTGCCACTGACTTAAAATTATGTGAGCAGCAACTAAGAAGTCCCAATGGCAAGAACATCCTTTCTAATCTCCCTTTTCAAAAGGGCTAGCTGTTAATTTATGTGCTCCTTTGAAAGCAAGATTAAAATACTGTCCTTACCCTCACCGGGAACACAGTCAGCCAGTTCCGATCACTTCTGAAAATCCGGCCAAGTGACAGCATGACAGAAGCAAATGCAGGCAGCCCTTGCCTAAGACACTTGTGCGCAGAGCCCAAAGCAACGCAGATCTGTTCACTTACTTGCCGCCAAGCCGCTGCTCGCGCTCATTGATCGTCCCGGTTCTGTGCGGGATTTCGTGATCGATGGGATACTGACAGAGCCACTGAACACCGTCCGACTTTCCTGAGGCCGGAGATTCTGCAAGGCAGACACGCACAAAACATGCTTACTTACTCACTACTGGTGCAGCCTTGGATGTTTCGAAGGAAGGCTCCAAATTATACTAAAACCCCCAGCCTTACCACAGCTGAATTATCTGAGCAGCAAGTCAGCAGAATTGGCAAAATAATATTCTGCCATTTAGTGCAGAGACTGGAAGCACACGCAATGTGATAGTGAAGTGCTGAATTACATGGACATATGCAGACAACTGAAAAAAAATATTTCTAATAATTAAAAAATTTCCTTGAAAGGATGGCTTGCAAGCCTAATTAGGTTGTTACAGATATATCCAAGATATATTGTGTAATGCATTCTTTCTGGGCACACGCTTCCAAAGTAAGCATTTCATTAAAACTTCTCTCTTCGATACCATAAGTTCTGGCAGGCATGTATAACTTTATACATTAATCATGTCAGTCCCTAATGCCTGCAGACTTATGTGCACATACTGGACTGATCTGTATGTCAATTACTTATGTAATTCCAAGGGCATTAAAAGCATTACCCTAGACCTACATCAGTGGAGCCAAAGTGAGAGTCTGCCTCTGTTCTTAGGCTGCTCAGACAGGAGGAGCAGAACACATGCCATCGGTTTCCCCAGGTATTTCGGTTCTGTATTGCTCTTGTTTTGCAACCTGATAGTTTCAGGGTGATTTTCTCAACCGGTAATTTACGGGACTGAAGTGGTCCTTTACTGAGAGAAGACGTAAAACCCCGTTCTTCTACTCGGGTAGGGCAATACCTGACAACACAAGTTATGTGTTTAAAAAATGGGAAAACATTACTCTGAAATAAGTTCTGGGAGATTTTATTTCTGCTTCTGCAAGCTTACAGATATCTCTAAGGGAAAAGGGGTCTCAGCTTATTTAGCCCATTTTTACAAAACACCTGCAATAACTGTTCACTTCTTCCTATTTACGTTTCATTATTTTCCCATTGTCCCTCTCAGATAAAGTAGCCAAACGTCAAAGAAAGTTTTCGAATTTCAATACTGAAATGTCAACACACAACAAAGATTCCAGCCCTCCCCAGGGTTTTCTCAGAGAGGCCCTCGGATGCACCAGTCTCTGCAATATCCCAGTACCCCTACGCCTGAAAAGTAAGCAGTTCGATATGGCCCAAATTTTGTTCAACTACATCATTTAACTACCGTCTTAGATCTGGAGGAATCCTCCGGCCCTTTTGCACCAATCGGTTAGGACTATTCCCAGGGAAAAGCGGAGGGCTGCACACCGCTTGCTCCCAACTGTCACCAACCTGCTGCCAATCCAATATTTCAGTGGCCCTTAGTGACCCTTTGCTGTTACAGAGCTTCCTTCTCCCAGTGGGCTAGAAATCACAGAATCACAAAATCGTTGAGGTTGGAAGGGACCTCTGGAGATCATCTAGTCCAACCTCCCTGCTCAAGCAGGGTCACCTAGAGCATATTGCCCAGGATTGCATCTAGATGGGTTTTGAAAATCTCCAGCGAAGGAGACTCCACTACCCCTCTGGGCAACCTGTTCCAATGCTCTGTCACCCTCACAGGAAAGACGTTTTTTCCCAGGTTCAGATGGAACTTCCTGTGGTTCAGTTTCTGCCCGTTGCCTCTTGTCCTGTTGCTGGGCACCACGGAGAAGAGATTGGCCTCATCCTCTTGACACTCCCCCTTCAGATACTTATACACGTTGATCAGATCGCCTCTCAGTCTTCTCTTCTCCAGGCTGAACAGGCCCAGCTCTCGCAGCCTTTCTTCAGAGGAGAGGTGCTCCAGCCCTCTAATCATCTTGGTAGCCCTCCGCTGGACTCTCTCCAGGAGTGCCGTGTCTCTCTTGCACTGGGGAGCCCAGAACTGGACACAGTACTCCAGGTGAGGCCTCACCAGGGCTGAGGAGAGGGGCAGGATCACTTCCCTCCACCTGCTGGCAACACTCTGCCTAATGCACCCCAGGATACCATTGGCCTTCTTGGCCACAAGGGCACACTGCTGGCTCATGTTTAACTTGTTGTCCACCAGCACTCCCAGGCCCTTCTCTGCAGAGCTA